TACATCAACAAACAAATTACATTCCTTTGATTCCCAGTGTATGCCCTACACAGTGCTTTGTGCAATAAATAGTTAAATGGATAAGATCGATTTGATGAAGTGTTCACCTTACACGTAGTATCGATCTTGACCTTAGGACCGACATCTATTTAAGTAAGTAATTAAACACAAAGGAGATCAAATTAAAAAAAAAGATCTTTTTATTGAATGCTAGCCTAGTAAACCTCTGGAGAATGGATACCAGCTAGGTTTGTAAAGTAAACGTAAAGGTTCAGACCTTGAGATCTGTTTCTATGGCTGACGTTAATGAGCTCAATCATGGTTGAAATTTATCTCCGAGACAACATTGAATTGCACACACAAATAAAAAAAATATTTTTTCTCCACCTAACAAAATGTAGGCTTATGGTCTAGTCTGTAGTTTATTTTGTAGTCTAGTCATCTAGTCTGTAGTTTATTTTGTAGTCTAGTCTGTAGTTTATTTTGTAGTCTAGTTTGTAGTTTATTTTGTAGTCTAGTCTGTAGTTTATTTTGTAGTCTAGTCTGTAGTTTATTTTGTAGTCTAGTCTGTAGTTAATTTTGTGTTTAGTCTGTAGTTTATTTTGTGATCTAGTTTATAGTTTATTTTGTAGTCTAGTCTATAGTTTATTTTGTAGTCTAGTCTTTTGTTAATTTTGTGGTCTAGTCTAGTCTATAGTTTATTTTGTAGTGTAGTGTATAGTTTATTTTGTAGTGTAGTCTATAGTTTATCTTCTTATATAATACAGACGTTACTTCAAAAAAGAAGATGATTACGTCCTACGCGTCATGCATTTAGTCTTGCATATTAACCAATGACCTAAATTCCGCAAAGTCACTGGTTTTCCTGGCTAGCTCAGGCAACCCATTCCATGCTCTAATAGCACTAGGGAAGAAGGAGTATTTGTACAAATTTGTCCTAGCATATGGGACGAGGAATGTGCCTTTATCTTTGTGTCTTTCTGAGTATTTTATTATTTTTTTTTTTTTGTATTTGAAGATTATGGTTCAGTGTTTTATGCATAGCCTAATTGCAACTTTACCTTTGAGTCTTCTATCCTAAAGGATTTCTAAATTTCGTGATTTTACTAAGGGTGTTACTCTTGTCAAATGTGAATATTCGTTTATTATGAATCTCACTGCTCTATTTTGTGTCTGTTCCAGTTGTTTCTTAATGTTTTCTTGACTTGAGGGGTAACAAACAGAGGATGCATAATATTCTATTATTGGTCTAACCAACATTAAATAACACTTTTGTTTTATGTTCTTATTTGATTTATAGAAATTTCTTTTAATAAACCCTGATGCTCTGTTTGATTTTTATTATAGTTTCATCAATATGGGAATTCCAAGACAATCGTTCATTTATTATAACACCTAGGTATTTTGCAATTTTAGTCTGTGTTATTGATTTACCATGAATAAGATAAGTGGAATTAATTTGTTTTAGTTTTAATTTTTGTTACTTTTAATAACTGACATTTTTCTGGGTGGAAAGACATGCTCCAATTTGATTCCTATTTTTGAGCTAGCCAGGAAAACCAGTGACTTGGCAGAATTTAAGTCATTGGTTAATATGCATGACTAAATGCATGACGCGTAGGACGTAATCATCTTCTTTTTGAAGTAACGTTTGTACTATATAAGATAAGAAGATAAGTTTGTAGTTTATTTTGGTCTTGTTGATTTTGTGGTCTAGTTTGTTGTTGATTTAGTGGTCTAGTCTTTTAATTAATCACCGAGACGACGCTTAGTTGCAAAAAAAAAAATATTTTTTCTCCATCTAACAAAATGCATATGAACCAGAATCTACCCGCAGACCAGTTCTAAAAAACTTCATGTCTATTTCAGATGTTTTCTTCTGTACACTTTAAATTTTTAATGATCTCATAATTTTCATCTCGATATTACGTAATTTAGCATGAAATGTAATTCTGATGATTTTTTTAAAACTCAAATGTTGTTTTTTTTCATTTCCATTTAGTATTAAAGGAATTCATTTGTTATTTGTATTACACGCCTCGGGGTAGAGAGTTTTTGTTTCCTAATGGGAACAAAAAAAATCAATTAAGATTACCTCATCAAGTAGCAATTATTTTTTACGAGTACCTGGCACAGAGATTTATGTAGAACAGTATAATATTATAGTGTAAACATTTCTTAAAAATGCCTGTTAATCATTTAGACAATTAGATTATATTTTTTAGTTCCTATTCGTTTTAAGCTTCCTACTGAAAGCTGGAAAGATATTCACCGCGTGATCTCGTCTGGGATTTGCCAAAAAAAAAAAAAAATAGAATGAAGATTAAAGTATTATTTTTAAAATATTCCTACTTCATATCATTTAGTTACCCCCCGCCCCCATTCCTTCCCCTCCCTCCCCCTTTAAAATACGTTTAGAAATTGTGTTCACTTAAAAGAATAGAAACGTTTCTGAGACACAAGAGATTATACTTTATCAACTACCCACATAGAAAGATAAAGGCACTTTTCTTATTCCATATGCTGGAGCGAATTCTAGTAAATCTAGACCTAAGTGAGGTCAATTGAGACCAAATGTTAGAGAAGGCCTTAACACTGACCTGCAACGTCACAACCTGTGAGAAGTTTAGACCAATAGCTCGTAGCCAAGTTACAGGTCTGTACGACGTGGCAACCAGCTATTGGTCTAAACTGCCTACAAGTTGTGACGTTGCAGATCAGTGTTCAGGCCTTCAATAACGGATGGTCTCTTGTCAATCCTTATACGATTAGCTGAATCAGCAGATGAGCAGGGAAACCAAGGACAGTCACTTTAAGTCTGTAATTACTAGGATAGACACATGGAAACACGTAGGGTGTAACTTTTTACAAACCTTATATCAACTCACTCTGTCTGTCTTTTTGTCTGTCTGTCTGGTAAAAAGTTTGTAGGCCTACAGGTTATTTATCCAATACCCAATCTCGGATCAAGCTGAAATTTTGCACAGTCATTTCGTTTTCCTGACAATACAAGAATCAATAAAAAAAAAAAAAGACTAACTCCTTAGTCAAAGAACTATTGGTAATTAATTATTTTGTTTGGGAAAGAATTAGTACATGAATAAGCTGAATTAGTCCCCTTTATAGGTCGTCGTCTGAGTCTTAGTGAACACAACATGAAAAATAGAAAGAGACTATATAAACAATATATAACTTTACAATCTTCCATAGTCATAAGCTCTCCACGAGCAGAGCGGTTATGCGTCGGCATGAGAAGCCTGAGAAGGCTTGAGCCATGAGTTCCTTTTTTATGTTTATAAATGCTTTTTTTATTGTTAGTCTAGATCTATTACAAATTAAACTACATGGCTGATTTCAACTAATTGATACAAGTACGCTTAATATAAGTTTTTTTTAAAAAGTATTTTGTTTTTTTTTATTACTATTCTATTTTTTTAAAGGAACGTCTGTAATTTATAAGATAAGATAAGATAAGATGAGTGCCGAGTGAAATGGACAGTCCAGGCTGTTCCAAAGTCAAAGCCAGTAAAATTGCGTGCGAGGACGTTCTTTGCAATCGTAAAAAAATAAATTGTTCCGAATAATTTAAAGACAGATGTAACTTTTTAAACAACCCTTGTGTTTTATACAGAGAACATAAAAAAATTGACAAAATGAAATGCAAATGATGCATGCAACATTTTACTTTTAATTCTAAATCAAAGACAAGTTTTAAAAGATTCAGAATTAAATTAGTTCGCACTTTGTTTAAGATCTGGGTTACTTTTAAAAGACATTTTTGAAGCAATAAAACTTGAAGTGACAAACAAGAGAAGGCAACACGATACAGAGAAGGCGTGGTCAATGAAACCTAAAAAAAAAACACAACACAAAAAAAAACAAAACGCAATGAAAATGAAAAAAGAAATAGATGTTCGAAAAGATTTTGAAATTAAAAGATAAAATTAACAAAGTCAAGGATGTTACTTTGAAAGACTGCTGCCAACTAAAAGATAAAAGTAACTTTTTAAAAATTGTGCAACAAGTGGATCACATAAATTTGAGTCTGCTGTGATAAAATGTAAAAAAAAAATGTGTTGGAGATTTTCACAGTAAACTAAACAATACCCAAACTTGCCAACGAAATCAAAGTTTCAAACAGATGAGTTGAACAAATTTGATTCAGCAGTGCTCAAATGTGCGCAAAAGATGTCAGGTCACTTTTTAAACACCTAGCTTATCAACACTTTATTATGTACACAGGATGCACCAGAAAAATTGCTATTTATAGGTTTTCCTTTATGTATGACATTATCCAATTACGCTTATTAAATACTTCCATATTATGTTCACCGGATACACCAGTAAACCTAGCTATTCGTAGTTTGGTCGCCTTTTATGTATAAACAAAATAAATAAAACATCCTGACTGCCGAATGCATATGTTAAGGATTTAATAGTTTTTAGTTTTTTTTTTGTTAACAACTTATAATACCTTATGAATATAGGCCTACAACTTCTACTAACTTCCTACCGTTTTATCTGGCCATGCATAAGTGGAATTAGGGCCGGCCTTAGGTATAGGTAAACTCAGCAGCCACCTGGGGCCTCGTATTGGTGGGGGCCTCGCACAGCATTCTAAACAATTTGATTTGAGAAGAAATATCGAAACTTGCTGTTGTTGGAGTACACTAGGTTTTTAAAAAAATTGCGTTATTTTTCACAGTTTTTAAAAAATATTTTTCTATTTCATTTGGGGCCACCAAATTCAATTTGCATAGGGCCCCCAATTTTCCAAGGCTGGCCCTGGTGAAATGAGATATTACAAGAAATACTTACCAACTAGTTACGCTTGACATCTTTTCTAATTTGAAGGTCAACAGTTCACTTCCAGTTTGTTTGTTTTTTACGAATAATTTGAAAGTTCAACAGTTCAAAGTTCACAGCAGAGGTAGATTTATATCACGTACCAACAAAATCGTGAATTAACAATATATGAATAATATTAACTAGAGATCAATATATGAATAATATTAACTAGAGATGTATCTCTGACATAAAATAGCACTTATTTTTACGAGGTCAGAATTTCACTGATTATACAATTCAGATTTCAAATGCACTAACAATTTTACTTTAACTCGCCGAAATCTATTTATACTTCAAAAAAAGTGGGTAAAATGGACGCACCCATAACTGCCCACATGGAGAATATAAATGAAAAAAAAGAAAGACAATTGATGTTACGGAGCGGTCAGCGCTGATGTCACAAAACCTCATTAAAAGTGACCAAAATATCAGTGGGAGGAAATATCGCCTCTTCACACAGGGAACCAATCAAACGCCTTTTCAAGACGCAGACGACAATCCCGAGAATTCCCGTGGACGCGAGAACGCGCGTGCACAGTTCAATGTCGCCGACGTCCGTTGAAACAAAAGAGATGTGTGTTTGAGGGGGGAGAGGGGGGTTTCAATCACCGCATAACTTAGCTTGAGATACGACAGAGCGTGGAATGTTTATGTCTTTGTAAACTGTCATCTGTTGTTCTGCATACGTATCTCGAAAAAATAACAAAAAAATTTTTTAAAAAGCCCGGTAATGTATGAGTCTGAGACGTTCTAATCTAGGTAGCTAGGTAGGGGAGGGGGTCCAAAGTTGAAAATTCACCAGGGCCCCTCTTGACGGGGCCCCCAAATGAATGTCACTGTCATGTAATCTTGCTATTCACCTGGAGTAAAAAATACTAAACAGCATTGATCTAGATCAGTGTTTCCTAAACTTTCGATAGATGCGTACCCCTTCAATACCTTTCATTAACCCTAGCGCAAAAAACAACTACAAAAAACGAAAAGTAATGAACTAAAATAAAATTGTTCATAATAAAATATTTATATATAATTTATATTATTGATACAAAAAAACTTTCATCTATGAGAAGGATGAAATTGTTTGTGCATTATCTCGCCAATCAACAACGGTATTATTAATTAAAATAGTCTTAATGATCATTTTTTGCTAATCTTACTTATACCCTTACTTATTAACTTTACCAATTGCAAAAAGTAGACTTAACATGAAGCTTTTAATTTATTGACCATGTTTCCTTGTATTTACCCTCTGTAAAATTAGCAAATCCAAAACATAAAAGGAACGAGAATTTTCTGTTTGAAAAATACTACCTTCTTTTAACTCCCTTTGCTTATTTTTAGTGCTATCTGAAATTTACTGTTGTTTATCGAAATGTAAATATTCTGTTTATTGTTTATACATGGAGGAAGCATTAGACTTTCACTACGTAACTTAAAAGTTATGTAAAAACAAATGGGCAACTAACTAACAGTAATAAATAAGATATGATTAAAAGATCTACTATCACGCATTGAGATATTGTTATCATGTAAGCTCAAGTCTTTTTGTATGTAGTTGGCGACATTGACGTCCAATTTAGCGTCCAGTTTAATTCGTTTTTATTTGTTTATTCATATTCATTTCAAACGGTTTGCATATTATTTTGTTCTAAATGTTCTTATCTTATCTTCTTACCTTATCAAAAACTGACGTTACTTCAAAAAAGGCAAGTAGTCATGCATGTTAACCAGTGACTTAAATTCGACTAATTCATTGTTTTCCTGGGCTCGCTCGGGCAACCCATTCCATGCTTAGTACAAATTTAGTACAAATTTGTCCTAGCGTGTTAAATGCCTAACTCTATGGTCTTTGTGTCTTTCAGAGTATTATATTATATATTTTTTTTTTATTTAAAGATTATGGTTTCAGTGTTTTATGCATAATTGCTACTTTACTTTTAAATCTTCTATCTCGAAGGCTTTCTAAATTTATGAACATGACTACCCCCTGGAACCGCCTACGAATTTGTTTTCGAGTTTGTATGTGGGTATGAAAAGATGGGGCTAACAAGGTGAAAGGACCCTCAGTGTATTATTATGCTCGGGGCTTCCTCTGTTTTCAGAAAAAGCACCAGGGGGGTAGAGAGGGACATGTAGAGTTAACTTTCATATGAATTTCACAACTTACTATAATAATGAGGGGTTTTATATAACTGATAGCCGAGGGACAAGTACAATTGGAAGAGGGGGAGAGAGAGAAGGAGGGAGAGAGAGAGAGATGGTGAATAGAGAGAGAAGGAGAGGAAGGGAAAGAGGGAGGTTGGGAGCAAGGGGGGATAGAGAGTTGTTGGTAGTTTCATGCTTCATTAGACACGACTATTAGATTATTAAGATCGAACTATTTCGATGAAAGGAGAAAATCACTTTTAAATTATTTTTACCTTCATTTGTTTTTTTCATTCCTTTTCTTCTCCCTTCACTCTATTTTTCTTATTATAAAGCTTAGATCAACTCACTCTGTCTGTCGGGTCAAAAGTTTGTACACGTTGATTTTCCCACACCCAATCCCGGATCAAGCTGAAACATCGCACGATTATTTATTGGCATAGACAAGACATGAATCATTTTAAAGAGTTATCAATTAGACAACTAATTACTGGTAATTCATTATTTTATTAAATAGCAACAAGGGAAACTAATAAGTCAGTATTGACAGATATGGCTAAATTCGTTGGGTTTATTCCCCTTAAATAATTGTTAACCCTATTTCTCGCTCACACATTCTCCGATAAAGTTGAGACTTATAAACAATTATTTATTGTACCTAACAAAACATGAATCAATAAACAAACAAAAAAACTCAATTAGTCAATTAACTATTGGTAATTAATTATTTTGTTGGATATCGAATAAGGTGAAATAAGGTGGGAAGCGTGGTCGAGAGGCTAAGTGCGCTTGAACTTGGCTTATCTAGAAGGCGGCTCGAGGCAGCACGGAAAACCAACTCCTAGATACCCCCTCCTCCCCCCCCCCCCCCCGGTCCACAAATGAGATTGGACATGCGCTCTGGGCATGAAAGTAGTGCTATATAAAAGCTATAATAATAAAAAAAAAAAAAACTTGTATATTTTTGGTAGGTTTAATGACGGAATCCTTCCTTTGGCTTTTTTTTTAAGGATTTTTTACATTTTTTTTTTCTTTTTTTTTTTTTTTACATCTATCGCTTTTCTCTCTTCTGTTAATCTTTCCTGTCTTACATTCTTTCACTTGTTCTCTCTCCCCCATCTCCTTCTCTCTGCCTTCTTCTCTTCTCTAATTGTGTATCGAGTTTATATTGTGAAATGAATCTCTAATTCTAATTTCTCTACAAAGTTTGATTTAAAAAAGCTCCAGACCCTATTGTCACATTTTGACCCTACATTCACAAAATAATTATTTAATGATTCTCTGTCGAAAACAAGAATCTCGGATAACAAACGCAATTAAAAGTACTCAAGTCGTGAAACAGCAATTTAGTCACATCCATAAAATTTACCGATTCCCCCCCCCCCCCCCCCCCCCGCCCAACTCCTCGACCACTTCTGCTACTTTACAAATGGCACATTTTTTTTCACGTTCATTCAGTTCCAACCACCTCTTCCCACCCGCTCCCTTTCATGAGCCAGGAGCTGGTCAATTTGTCAGTCAAATCGGCACGAAGTTGGACTAAACTAAAAAAAATGTCTCCAAAAATATCCTAATTATTTGGCTCGATTTGGCTGTTTTCACATTTCCATTGAGTCCACTAATTGTCGTAGAGTGTAATTTATTTGGCATACATTTGGATTAAACTGGGTCAATGTGAGTAAACTGTTGAACTCTCCATCGGTGTAGTAAATATTGTGGAGCAGACGTGAAGTGTCATATGAGCGTCACATTTCAAGTACTTCTAATTATTTTGAATGTAGCGCGGTGGCTAAGTGGTGAAGCGCTTGGCTTCCGAACCTGGGGTCGAATCTCAGTGAAGACCTCTTTAGCGCAGATAACATTGACATCATCTGCCCTATAGATTATGATAATCGTAGTGAAGAAATAAATTTAAACAGTACTTTATAACTACAGAAACTGTAAGATAAAAAGGGAAAGATCTGTATGAATGAAAATGTATTTTGTTCTGTATTCCAACATTTGTACCATTTTAAAAAAAAAAAATGTAATACAAATCTCATGCTGATTCGTTCCATGATTGAAAACGATTCATTCAGTACTTATTGTAAAAAAAAAAAAAAAAAGCCTATATTACATCCTCATGTAAAGTTTGCGTTTGTTAATTGATCTGAATCATGTATTTGATCGATTTAAGTTGAAATGTCTTAATACAAAGTTAAAGACCCTCAATGTACTTTTCTCAACCTTAACTCACTATTGAACGTGCGGTGTTGAACTGAGTTGCACCAAGAACTGACGACCAAAAACAGCTGGGTGCGATACATCTTATCTTATAAATTACAGACGTTCCTTCAAAAAAAAGAAGATAATTACGTCTTATATAGTTCGTCCATCGTGGTTCGATGCTGACCACTTTGTCATCCAGGGGGGCTGAGGGCTTTGCACTGGGGTTTAATGCCTCCTCATGTGGCTGGTTAGACCTATGTTAGTCCGGAATGTTCGGCTGCACACTGGGCGATTACGTCTTACGCCCATTGTCACGTAACGGAACCGTGCAAGGCCATTTCGAATAACAAAATATTATTCTTGCATTGGTTGAATGTTTGCATCATAGTGTCGTGGCGGCGTGAAATTCCATACCATAAAAGGAGAGTTTGACCAATTCCACGCGCGTGAAAGGAGATTAGTTGGTCAAAAATTGCGAGAGGACGCAGATGGTAAAAAGTGTTTAAAGAGATGCATTGATTGTTTGGGGGACTTGAACAACGACAGTATATGTGTTTAAGTGAATTGTATTGTACATTTATAAAGTGTGTATACTATTTAAAGTGATTCCTAGTTCCAGAATAAAAGTGTTGTATTTAATGTGTTGAACTCTCATTTCTGAATGTACATTTTACATTTGTATCTCCTGCATCACGTTATTGTTTGAATATTCAGTAATTTGTTTAAAGGAGAGAACTATACAAAATCGAACATCAGAAACGCATTGTCTGATCAAAGCAATCTCATCGTAACATCAAGTTAACATATTGTAACATCAATCAAGACATTGTAGTAATCTGGCACTTTAACTTATCGTCACAACTAAACAACTACATCTAGCCGTGTTAATTAGAGACTTCAATCTCTGCTAAGTCATTGGTTTTTTTGGCTGATTCAGGTCATCCATTCCATGCTACAATGTTACTCTAGTCAAATGTAAATATTTGTTTGTTATAAATCTCACGGATGTAAATCACATCTTCGCTAATCAGCGAATTAAAACTGGTGTCATCCATTTGCTTTTTACATCTTTATTCAAGACACACTTTCGGAGTGGAACCTTCTAGGTGGATGGATGGACGCGATTCTTGAAA